TGCCTATCTCTCATGCAAAGTAATTTTCATTTTAAGATTAAAAACACTTTTATGCATTAGAAAATTTTTAAATTTCATATGCAAAATCTTTATAACTTCCAGATAATTATCAAACATTTCTTAAGAAAAAAACTTTATATTTTATATGTTATTTTCACTAACGAACCTCTGTACGGATTTGGTAGATTTGACCGATCCTATAACCACCATAACAAAATAAGGAAATAAATATAAATTATGCCCCTTTCATTCTAGAATGAACACAAATTATAACACAAAAGCATAAATGTTTAGACAAAATAGCTTAAATCTCATAACATTATACATTTATATATATTTATTATTTTTATTATATTGACCTTTCACCCGTGCCTGGCTAACAATACGGAAGTTACACTGTCATGGCTCACGTGCACTCATGTTACCCTATCAAATAACATAAAGGTGACCTTTGGTCTGTACAAAGTAACTTGTCTTGGCTGTGTTTTAGTCGACTAGTATTTTGTAAAATACAGTCATATTTCAATTATTATACATTATATATATAGCTTATTGCTATTTTGAAATAACTTCTTAAATCTATTTTTCCTAAAACTTACAACAGTAAATAAAGAAGTAAAGCAAACAACTATCTCTTCTAGTAACGACCTTTGTACACAGTTGCTGCTTGACGTAGGTTGCTAAGCCTTTAAAAATTTTGCACATGGAGGATATGAAACAAAATATTTTTTTAGGTTTTATATATACTTCTGAATAACTATAAAATCATAAATTACTACATCAATACCATAGTATTCTACTATAATTTATCAAGCTTAGTAACTAAGCTTTATTTGGGGTCTAAAAAAATATGACATTTCGAGCAGACTAAAGACACAAACTACCTCATTGAAATCTTGGTTCAAAAAAAAGAAATGGCATAAGGAATGTTAGAAAATCTGAGAAAACCACTAGGGGACATTCTAGGCTTTCGACTGGTTATTCATGTTATATATAGAAGTGTATATATAAGGGAGCATTTCCAAAAGTGGAAAGAGGTGGGTACAGTGCCACTGTGTTTGATTTATTAAATGAGCAATATCTTAGCCAATAGATAAGACCTTCTTATTTTATATTCTAGCTTATCAGTATCAGTAATTTGAGTTTCTAATTCGTATAAAACTACAGACTTTGTATTTTGACTTCACAAACATCTAATTTTAATCAGTGCTGGTATTCAGCATACCACATGACACACAAAAATCAATGTTTATCTGTGTTTTTTTAATAT